TTAGCCAAAACTCCCCGGCGGCTGAGCCTGAGCATCCTTTGCCCCCACCGGCCGTAACCCCGGGGGCGGTGTGGGGGGTTGGTGGCTCAGGTCCTGGGTGGCCGAGCCCCCGAGCCAGCGCTGCCCCTGGCACATGAGGGCTGGATTTGCGCTCGGCTGAGTGCCCCGTTTCACAGGGACAATGGCAGAAGCTCCCGAAGCTTCGCAGGGGCCGGGTGCCGGCTGCGGGGCTCAGCCCACGTCCCCCCGGGGACAAAAAGGGTACAGGACGGTAGGACACCCGAGCCTCTCACACATGAGGTCCTCCCAGCCATCCTCCGGAGGCGATTCGGGGATGAAGAGCCAGTCGGCGCCCGAGGCCAAGCCAGACACCAGCGCCAGGTACCTGGGGGGACACGGTGGTGGCAGTACCGGCACCAGGACCGGCCCCGAAACGTGGCATCCCATCCCGCTGATGGTCTTCCCCACCCACAGGGGCTTACCCGCAGTGGCGGCCCATCACCTCCAGCACGAAGGTCCGCTGGTGGCTGCAAGGACATGAGTGGGAAGAGAAGGAGGGTGGGTGGGTGCCATGCCCATGTTGGTCCAGCCCCCAGCCCCCAGCCCGCTCACCTCTGTGCCGTGGTGGTGATGGCGTCGATCACCTCCATGATGCGGTGCAGCGCCGAGTCGGTGCCGATGGTCATGTCAGTGCCGCAGAAGTCGTTGTCGATGGAGCCCACCAACCCCACAATGTTCAGGCGACAGTTCTCCCGGGCCACCTCCTCGCTGATCTGTCCTGTGGGTGGCGTTGGGGGACATGCCATGCACCACCAGTTTTTTTAGGGTGCTCCTGTCATCTCCCCCAGCATCGGGCCAGGTCCTGCAGTGCAGCAGAGGAGCCCAGCCCTCTTTGGGGGTCACAGTGATGGGGTGGACCTCAACACCTCTTGAACGCTTTCGCTCTACCCACCCAAGGGTTTTGTGAGCGAGGGGGAGTTCACCCACCATCACGGACCAGCTCCTCCAGCAGCCCTCCCCACTCGGAGCGGAAGATATCGGCACCGGTCAGGCTGCCGTCCCCGCCGATGACGCAGAGGTTGGTGATGCCGTGTTCCACCAAGTTACGGGCGGCCCGCAGCCGGCCTGCCCGGGTGGTGAAGGCTTTGCAGCGGGCGCTGCCGATCACCGTCCCACCCTGGGGAGAGAAAAGTGTGTGTGTGGGGACACAGCTCGTGACACGGATACGGGGAGGTGGGATACGGGGGGCGGTCCTCGTGACCCCACCGGTGCCCCTCACCAGCTGGATGATGTTGGAGACGCTGAGCCAGTTGGCTTGCTTGATGTTGTCTCCCCCCTCCACCAGCCCCTCGTAGCCCTGCGGAGAAGGGGGGGGGGGG